ATTTGTCCTGGTTTGATTAGCACAGACCTGGCAGGGCGTATTTTCTTTTTAATGGCTCCTTGCTGTGACAGTGAGGTTTTGGGGGGAGGAGGAGGAGAGGGGGGAGCCTGGCGTCATGTTTCCTCAGGCAAACACAGAAAAACGAAGGGCTGATGTGCTGGGAGAGGTGCTTCAGAGCCTTCATTATATTTTGTATGGATATAAGAGCCTGCCCCTAAACAGGACTGCTGAGAGGGAAGGAGAGGGATAAGGATGCTGTTTTATCTTCCTGCGGACTTTATTTTGAGGAAGAAAAGGATGCTTGGTGTGTTTCTGTTTTGTTGACTATTAAAACCCAGTTGCTGAAAGCCTACCCTAACACAAACAAGGATGCAGGCAGGAATGCCTTACTGCTCCATGGTGGGGAGCCAGCACCAGCTGTGTGTTTGGGGAGCACCTCGGGTGCCTGTGACGCGCCCATCCTGGGGCAGTTCTGCCGCTTTCCTTTCCGCCTCAAGTCCCCCTCAGCGTGAGGAGGGCTGTTTGAGCCCCTCACCTCTGCTGGAGGAGGCAGTGCTGGAGGGACGCCTCCAGGTGCGGAGGTTTGGGGAGGGGGAGCTGGATTAACCCCTGCTGTGCATCCCCTTCACCCGGCTGCCCTCCCCAGCCCCCCGGCCCAGCGCCCCCGCCTCCACGGCAGCCGCCTTTGTGCCTCCCGCATCCTGCCAGGCAGGTGTCAGAGCCCTGAATGCGGGCAAAGGCCCCGCTGATGGATACCACAGATGGAGCGTGGAAATCGGCCCAATAGGCCTCAGCCACAGGCCATTTCTTAGGACCCAACAAAAGCCTCCAAATAAGTCAACAAAAATCCCAAAGATCACAAAGAGAAAGTGTCATTTGTCATTTGCTGTGGGTTTGTGTGGGGGTGGCGGCCCCGCTGCACTCCCCTTGCCTGCACCCGAGCAAACACGAGGAGGTCACTTGCCTTGCCTCGGCCGGGATGGCTGCGGGGATCAGACGGGCGCCGGCAGCCATCGCTGCCACGGTGAGCCCCAGGGCCCAGGGAGCCCCAGGGCTGGCAGAGAGAGCACCCCAGTGAGCACCAGAGGGCTGGCAGAGAGAGCACCCCAATGAGCCCCAGAGGGCTGGCAGAGAGAACACCCCAGTGAGCCCCATGGCCAGCAGAGAGAACACCCCAGTGAGCTGCAGGGCTGGCAGAGAGAGCCCCCCGGCGAGCCCCAGAGGGCTGGCAGAGAGAGCACTCTGGGGAGCCCCAGGCCTGGCAGAGAGAGTACCCCAGTGAGCCCCATGGCCAGCAGAGAGAACACCCCAGTGAGCCCCATGGCCAGCAGAGAGAACACCCCAGTGAGCTGCAGGGCTGGCAGAGAGAGCACTTCAGGGCGCCCCAGGGTGGCAGAGAGAGTACCCCAGGGAGCCCCACGGTGGCAGAGAGAACACCCCAATGAGCCCCATGGCTGACAGAGTGAACACCCCAGTGAATCCTAGGCCAGCAGAGAGAGCAGCAGAGAGAGCACCCTGGGGAGCCCCAGGGCAAGTAGAATAAACACCCCAGGGAGCTCCAGAGTTGCAGTGGCACAAGGGGGAAGACCCTGTGAAATTAATCTTGCTTAAATAAAGAACTGAGAAGATGGGTGTGTGGAGGGTAGGTAGCTAATAAACTGCTACCAAACCCCTCCCTGGCCTTTGCTATTTTAATTTTTTTTAATTTGCCTTGTTTTAGTGAGATCCCTAACTAGACATAATTCATTCTGGCTGTTAGACTAGGAGGAAGAGACTGCGTGTAATATGTTATTAAAAAATGTTACAGAGTGTGAAGAGTTGCGAGAGAGATTCTGCTTCCCTGGGTCACAGATGATAACCTCTCCATGATAATCCCTCTGCCTGCCTCTGTCAGGTGCACTCTGTTGCAGCCCTAATGCATGGGCTTTAAATGGTTGTCATGTTATTGTTATTTAATTATTCAAATGAAATGTCTTGCTGGGAGGAAGAACAGCCCACAGAGTGACCCCTTGTGTGTCATTTTGTTGTTGGGTTTTTGCCCCATGTGGCTATTTACAGTGTTTGGAAAAGGGATGGTTGCAGAACTCCAGGTGACCAAATGCCTGTGACATTGGGCAGTGGGGTTGTGCATTTGTGGTGATAATCGGCGTGCAGCATTTCCTTAGGCCACCAGATAGGTCATGAGCAGTTAAGGGACAAATAATTTCTCTTTAATTCTGTAATTCCTTTTTAAATTTGTCTTTGTGACTCAGCAACTGGTAATGCTGTTGGCGGTCTCTCCAATTTTGAGCTCTATAGTAAGAGGGGTTCTGGTGATCCCAAGGAGCTCAGCCAGGCAATCTCCCATGGCAGCGAGTCTCCTTCTATTTATGACTTGAGGGGTTGGAAAATTAGGATCAGTAGAACACGTGTAAAGGTTAGTGATATGCATGTTTTGTGTTTGTGGAGGTGATGGATATAGAAATAACCCAGATAAAATATCACCAGCTTTGCCAGTGCTGAATAATATCTTTGTATATCATGGAAGTCAGTAGAAACATTAGTGAGATACTGATTAGAGGGCAATGCACTGTGACTATTGAACATATAAAATATATATATTGCTTGTCTAAAGGCTGAGGTGTATCCAGTTTTTGTGCTCAGCCAGTACTCTGAACTTTCTCACCATACAAAAGTCTAATATTCATATTTTAATATGAAAAAATAAGAATAAAGGCTTCCTTGATGATAGTGATATTTAAGAATACTTTGTAAGGAATAAGAGCACTACAGTTTCTAGTATAGACATGTAGCTATCCTTTGAGATTACATTTGTCTGACTTTCATATTACAGGGCAAGTAAGACAAAAGAAGCCAATGTTTTCAATAAAGCTGCACATAGCAGCCAGGCCTGGCAAGAAGTAATGCCAATGAAAGCAGATAGATATGAAAGTAGTTTGATGTGATATGCATTTTATCCCTACTTCAATTTTACTATTTTCTCTTTAAATTCTTGCCCTTGATTACACATATTGTTCCAGACTCTTAGATACTATAGTTATTTTTTTTATTGGTTTACCTTTGTGACTTTCATTTACTGCTTAATGAAATATAAAATGAAAATTAATAAAATGAAAATGAAATGAAACCAGGGTTTTAGTTCTACATTCTCTGGCAGAAAGAAATGAGAGCATAGGGAAACGTGTCAAGATTTTGCTAAGCCTTTATAAAACATTTTTAAAAAGATAATGATATGTCTCCTTATACTTCCCACTCAGCTGGTGAGGGAGTTCATTTTAGGAATTCAGCAGTAAATATCTCCTTTAAATTGCACTGTTTAAGCTGGCTTTTTATAAGCATATACATAGATGTGTGAAGAGGTTGTACTCATACACGTGGAGTCTGTAAGTGCATTGAAAGTGTTCCTGACATCTTCCTGACAACTTCCTTTTCTTTTAACTCATTGTACACAATTAAAGGCAGCTTTTGTAAGAGAAGTTCTCTCCAAAAGGGACGTTTCTGAGCTCTGTTTCAGATCTCACCCCACCAGGTAAGGGCTGAGTGTAGCCAGTGTGACCCTGGTAGTGTGGCTGGTGTGCTCTCCTCCAGCCCAGCTGGGCAGTAAGAGCTGTTCTGCTTAAGGTGGGTGATTTGTATCACAGAGTGACATTAGGGAACTACATTTAAAATAGCCTATATTTCTTTTTGCTGCTGGATGACAGTGTGGAGCCATCCTGCAGGGTTGGGACTTGGCAGTTGCTGAGGAAGGCAGGTGTCACTTGGGACCCTAGCTGAGAGGGTTTGGGATTTGTCACTAATTCAGACAATGTATGATGTTAATTTTGGGATACTCTAGATTGCCTGTTTAATAAGGACTGGACTTGAACTGTTTAGGATAGGAGGTTTATGGTGAATCTCCTTTGTTCTAGAGAACAATATTCTCAAGAATAAGAGCCTCTTAGTCCAGTCTTAGGACAAGGCTTCACTTCAAATAAGGCTCTGGGAGCTGATGTTTGTTCAGTATATTGATGCTGAGATCCACAGGAGTTTTTCCTTATGTCTGTGTTTGCTGGGTCCAAGATATTGATGCTGTCTGGAAAATGAAGACATCTTTCACAAAAGAGCCACTGGTCTAGAAGTAATTGTTCTTTTTTTTTTTTTTTTTGGTATGCAGAAATTAATAAACTTTTCAGCTGAATTGTCTGAGAAAGCACTTTATGTTTCTCATGCTCTAAGTAAACAGATTAGCTGTATTTATTAGCTCAAACAGCTTGAGTGAAATTGGAAATGTGAGATAGCTACAAATGAACCTGGTGGGGGGTTTTAGCTGGAGCTTGAGAAACAGTTTGCTTCCAAATAAATTACATTAAAAGGATTATATTAAATCAATGTCTGTATCAATAATTTCTTTGGCATTGCTGAAGTAGTAGCAGCAATGCTTGTATTTCCATTGAACAAGCAGTTTCAGCATTGCTGGGGAGTGTCTGCCCTCTTTAGGTGGTTTCCCTTGAAGACTCAGGCAAGAAGGAATGCTGGTTGCCTGGACAGCAGCTGGTGCAAGTGAAGACTGGCTTTGAAAGTCTACTTTTTTGGTTCATTACCGTTTACTGGGGAGAGTGAGTGTGGTTGGGTACTAGAAGAGGTTATGCTGCCTTCACAGTTATAGCTCTGAGTTCAGCTGTGGCTGGAGTTCACTTGATGGCCAGGGGAAACAAGCAGGGCTGCTGGGATCTGTCTGGCCCTGTCTGTGACCTCCCTATCTGCATGTCTGTGAAGTCCAGGAGTTTCCATATTGATTTCTCTATAAACTGCTGATTGTAAAAGTTGAGCCCCTTCCTGGGTCATGGTCATGCTGTATGTGGTTTGTTTCTCACTGACTTTTCTCAAGTTCTCACTCAGGATTTGTGAGGGGCCTTTGGTCCAAGACAGATATGAAAGGATGTCATTGATTGATTCAATATTTTGCCATTTTTTCTCCTTAACTATGGCTAATTTTGCCTTTTTCTTTTTTCTTTTTTGAGCATCAGCACCTCAGTCTGATGAAGGCTCTGACATTGATTCTGAACCAGATTTGCCTTTAAAAAGAAAGCAGCGTCGCAGCAGGACAACCTTCACAGCAGAACAACTGGAAGAGCTGGAAAGGGCTTTTGAGAGGACACACTACCCTGACATTTACACCAGGGAAGAACTTGCACAAAGAGCCAAGCTCACAGAGGCTCGTGTCCAGGTATGTATAATACAAGCTGCCTAATGAAAGGAGTTTCCTTTTCTGTTAGCATGTGAGTCCTTTTATACTCCTTCATGATCCTGCTCTAGAGTAGAAGGAAAATGTGAAGCAACGCTTTACAGCTGTAGAATTTTTACATCTGTACATGGACTTTTTTTCTAACTGTTTAAGAGAACTGCTTTGAAAAAACTTTTGTGTCTTTCCATTAATTGTTCCATACTTACCATGAATATAGTATAGAATCTTTGAAGAGGAAGAAAAAAGTCTGATATCCCCACTTGTTTGCTTTATGCGCTTAACAGCACTCTGCATACAACAGCTTAGCTGTTGGGCCAGTTTATAGTAACATAACTGATTTCATCTGTTGTTGTCTGGGTCTTCCAGGCATTAAAAAAAGAGAGAGAAACGTTTTTTAAAGGAAAATGTGTCTACAGAGCCATGTAAGTCAGGAAGGTGGCTGGTTCACTTTTAGGTTAGATTTTGGTTAGAAGTTGACTTGGTATAAATTCTGTAATATCTTTTTTATCCCCACTCTCAATTTAATTCAAAAGAGAATAAGTTCTCAAATAACTTCTAAGACTTCACAGCCTCATGTATATCTGGGTTGTCTAAAGCAAACTAATGTACCAGAGCAGTAACATGGAGTTGATTTAAATTTTTTTAAAAGTATATGCCTGGATTTTTAGCTGTCTAAACCTAGGAAAATAGCTGCCAAATTATCCTGGAATAAACTGCATCCCAGAGTTGAAGTTTTGATTAGGACTTCTCCTGTTTGATATCAAAGAAACATGTGCTGTGAAAAGTTTAACACTGCAGGCAGAATCTTCTGCTGCTCTTTCACCACTTGATATCTACAAATTGCTAGGAAAAGTATGCCCCTTTTAAATCAGTCTGAGTTGCAAGTGTTCCCAAGCCAATGTGTGGTTGGGTGACAAGCAAGATGTTGAAGCATGTGATCTAACAAAGGAAGAGAAATGAGTGGTGACTTGTGGTCTGACCAAGGATACAGGTGAATTTGGTTTCTTTGGTAAAACTCTTATTATGGTTTGACCTTTGAAACTCGGCCTGAGGCATTCAGACTGTGCAAACTGAAATAAACAATACAAAACACCTCTCTGACTTTTGAAGACAATCACACCTATTGCAGCATGGCTGTATTATACTGAGTGTCTGTCTTGAAAGGCTCAGACTTTTTACCTGCTAAATGTTTTTGCAGAAAACTTCATGCCACATTTCTTGTAAGTGTTTATTATGACTGTGGGAGAAAATCAGATGTGTGGATGAATTTGTCTGGAAGGCAAACTCAGTTGTGCATGACTCTTCTTAACATGTTTACTAAGTGAAATGCTTGCAAAACAGCTCCATAGATAGACTTGGGCCAGGTAAGAGGAAATCAAGCCCCAGGAATCATTTGCACACAAACATAACAAAGATAACTTGCTTCACAAGTGTTGTTAGCAAGACGAATGGGATCTTGGAGATGGTGTTTTGGTCTATGTTACCTTCAGTGGAAAAATACGATAAAATGAAAAAGACCTTGTTCATGTTTTTCTAAATCAATGACCCACAGCTAGAAGAAAAGCAGAACTCTCATTAACATAACAGCTGTCTTAATGTGGCTTTAACCCTGTGACTTTTTGCATTCCTCATGGCTTCCTTGGTTCCCTCGAGACGCATCCTGTCTCACACTGCTCGTATGATCTACAGCCTCACGAATTCCCCAGTACCTCTGACATGGATATTTTACCTAACCCAGCATGGAAGAGAGTTCCCAGTCAATCAATGATTAAAATACCAGAACAAAACCTTTCTGGATTAAAGATGAGCTGGGGTTGAAGTAACCAGCCTGTGGGCAGTTTCCTAGTGCACTCCATCTGTCTGGTACACTTGAAGGCTGGCAGAATGATTTAGCAGTGGATTAAGGGATACAGGATTTGCCTTATCAGCATTCAGCACCTCTCTATAGCCCCTTAAAATAGCCACGTATTATGGGCATGAAATAAAAGACGACCTGTGAAAAGAAAATAACCCTGAGAGACTTGAGGCTGAGAGGGCTGGATAGCCAAACTGAAGTAGCATTCAGGCTTTCTTAGTCACACTTCTTTTTTGGTAACATTATGATAGAGATCAGAGATACCAAATTTTATATGGATATATACACAAAGGTCTCTTTGACTGCTTCCCAATAAAGCATTTTCTAAAAGAGCTGGCTCTTGCAGCCTGAATCCAACTAAGCCCAGAAATTTATTTATTTATTTCCTTTGGAGCTGTAAGGTCCAATTCTGTACAGTAGTTTTATATTGCTTATATATATATTTATAGGCAGTTATTTAGTTGATAACAACTGGATCAACCTTGCTATTCCCTCAGTCCCTCTGTGTAGTACTTGCATCTCATGTTTTGTTTTTTCTACTCTGCCACCCTGTGCTTCCCCTTTCCTTTTGTTCCCTGAGGCTGTCTATTACTCTCGTGAAAGGAAGAGTCTTACACCACTGAATTGTGGTTTTCCTCACTTTCCCACTGCTGAAGGGCAACCAAATGCATGTTTCTAACCTGGTTGCTTGGAGGTGGAGGAAAGAACTTGCCTCTGGTCTGGGATCAAGAGTAGAACATGTCAGCCCCTAAGGGGAATTTTTTGAGAGCAACAAGCAACTGAAAACAGACTTTACACTGTGAATGTTATTTATGTACCTAATCATGGGAACAGGAAAGGCTTTTGGGGAAAGAAGTGTTCCAACAAACTCCACATTGTAAGAGTCATGAGATGTGTAACTGTAATCATGGTAAATATTTCAACCCTGGGTGTAAGAACGAGTTAAAATGCTCCCTGCAATTCCTCCTGCAGCCCCTTTCCACTCAAAGACCGTTGAGTTTTCCCCCAGTGTTTGAACCTAGATGTGATATAAGCCAGGAAAACCTCTTCTGCTGCCTCTCCCAAAGGCACTTGCTCTTCTCTGAACATTAGATGCAGATGGAAGAGGAGAGTTCTTTGGTCTTGTGATATTATCAATAAAATTCAGAAAGATAAGCACAGTTCCAAAGGAGGACCTTTCCTTTAAAAATTAAAAAAAAAAAAAAATAGTGATACTCTGGAAATGTGAAATTAAAAATTTGCATGTTTTGAGCAAAAATTGCAAAAATTACTTTACCGGTCCAGTTTAAAACTTCATTAAAACTATCATTATGTTGCAGTGCAGGCCCTTAAGGTCTGTGGCCTGTTTTTACTGAGAATCTGAAGGCAAGTTTCAAAAGTGAATTTATCTCCAGTGTAGATCAAGGAGTCTTTCTGAGCTGTGGAGTTACGGCATCAGGAATGAAGGGGTAGTGTCTTTTCTGGCCACCTTTGATTCCCACAGCAGGCTTGTTTCTAGACAAACTGGGCAAGTTTTGGCAGCAGCTTGGGCCTGTTTCAGATCGATGGCGGGGAGAGTTTATGTCAATCTTTTGGCAAAGGATTTTTAAATAAGGTTCAGGTTTGTCCTGTGGCTGGCCAGGAACCTGTCTTGGCCAACAGGGGCTGGCCATGCTGGCAAATCTTTTGGGGCTGTGTGTTGATGGCAGGCATCCCAAATTGCCAGAAATGTGGGGCATTTATTGGATTGTATTTGGACCATGTTAAGGAGTGCCGCAGCTGTATGGATCCTTGGGGCAGGAGGCCCTGCTGTGAGAAGCAGCTGGCACATGGCTCCCTTGTTTAATTCCAAAATGAAATAGGAAAAATTTGTTTGGATTCTTTTTCGTCCATGAATAATGGTGAAAAAGAAGGGCAAGTCAGGAATAATTCTGAATCATGACTATTTCCCACCCTGAAGAGTTTCTTCTCAGCCAAATCCCAGCTTTAAACTGATTTGCTTGAAGACATATTAAAAAAAAAAAAAAAGTTGTTTATCAACAGAGCATGTCTGAAAATTTAGGCACATCTCTCCAGGCTACTAGCATGGAATTGAATGTTCCCATGTCAAGCTTGTAATCAGCTTGTTAGCTATTGTAAAAACTTTATTATAACCTCAACAAATAAGTCCCAAGAGCTCAGATGTCTTGAGTAGCTAGAAGAAGAATTATTAAAAAAATTATTTTAAGTGTTGTGCTTGGATAGTATTTTCTTTGCCTCACTGTGGTGCAGGGAGGGAAAGAGTTTGGAGAGGAGTAAGGGGAAAGGTGAGAGAAGTTATGGCTCTTGGGCTAGTAGTAAAGTTTAAAGGCTCTGGAGTCCAATTTCTCAGCTTTAGTGGTATTTTCTCAGTAGAAAACAGGGAAAAGCACTCTCTGAGAAATCACTGGGGAGGGGGAATCTGTGCCAAAGAAAAGTCTTAGTTTCCTCAAACCTCTGAAATGGTTTGAGCATATACTGAACTGCCCAGTCCTATGGGAAGATGGGGCAAAGGAATGCAGGCTGGATTCAAGAACACTCAAGACTCACTTTCATCAGATCTTTAGTTATTCCTGATGTGGTTTTATGGAGGATTTCTGATGCCTTTTCTTGTGACTGAAACTCTTGCATCATAAAAAAACTAAAGAAAGAAAATGCTGTGTGTATCATTGCAGCAGATAACCCTGTAATTGCAGGTCCCCCCTCCCCTGTAAAGGGGAAATTCTTATGGGTAAATGAACCAACTGCATTCATATGTGGGCCCAAGAGGACATTTTTAAATATAAAGGAAAAGAGGGATGTGATTTTGGATTGTCTCTTTCTGGTCCCTGCTGCCTAAGGGCTCTAATTAGTGTCACTTTAACTTAAAAATACACAGCTCAATTTGCTTATTACTCAATAATTTTTAGAACTATTCTGCTGCAGAGTTTTAGAAGTATTTTTGTAGGACTGAGTCAAAGTTTTCTCAAAGAAACCTAAGAGATTGGAGCATGTTGGATCACATTGGGAGGTAGTTGGAAGTCCCTATTCCCTTTGGCACAGGCTAGTGACTTTTAGTCTGTGTTGGTTTTTTTTGTTTTATTTTGTGTGTGGTGTGTTGGGTTTCATTTTGACTTTCTTTGGTTTTCGA